ATCCCCTTCCAAATGGACAAGGATCTTCTTCAAAGACGTTTAGTAGGAAAATTTCTTTTTCAAATAACGTTTTTTGCGTGCCAGTAATTCTCTGAGTAATATAGAATCATTTCTGGAAACGTTTTTACAGAATTGTTTCTGCTTATGAAAAGTTCTACTCGATTCGTGGCAATCGAACATCGAAAATTTAGTCTGATCACATTGCTTTTTGAAAACGATAATAGTAGATGAATGGGCGTTAATAGACCATGTGAAACGGCTTGTTGAATTCCCTTTAGCTTGAACAGAAAAGGAGACTTGTGAACTAGTACTTGGACGCCCGTTTTATTGACTCTGAGATAACGAACGGGCTTTTGAACTCCACTAAATGCAATTTGTGAACGGGTGTGGAACGGACAAAGTTGACAAATTTTATCAGTCTTGAACGGGATTGGAAGGGTTCCGACGCACATTCTATGTTTTTTTTCGCTCTTGAGGATCGTCAATAATGTGCTTAAAGTAGTCTAGTTTTATACGCGATCAACAAAAAGATCCGTTGATAGTTTGTGAATAGCACTTTACTTGTGAATAAGAACCATTCACAATCAACGTTTGACGAGCATCGAGCCGTCTTTGAGGTCAAACAAACAGCTGGACTGTAAACAGCCGTAACTGTAAGCCAGAGGTCAGCGAAACTGCTAAGACCTATATCAGTGGATAGCCCGTTCAATTTCGAGCAAAATGTGTATATGCCAAGTCTCTAGAGTTCTTCTACGAGATACAGTAGCGCAAATACAAAAACAAGTGTTTTGAATTACTAAAGCTCTCCCTCCACTGAGAGTTTTTGGCTACTCCCTATCAAATCACGTATAGTTCAACCAGTTTTGGTCATAGAAACCTAAGAAATACCACATTTTGTTCTGAACTGAACAGGCTATCCACTGATAAAAGTCGCGAGTGGTTTCGCTAATTTTGGGCTGTTCTGGAATTGTCGGAAAACCCAGACGTTTGGAAAATCTTAGCTCAGAAAATATGAGCGGAACCAAAGTTTCATTTACACTGCCATATGCATTGATATATGGAGAATCCACTATCACAACCGTAGGTCACCGAATAGGTATGGGAGTCAGCAAATGCGTTGCAAAATTCCTAAAAACGGCAAAAATGTTCAGCTGGTCCGCAAACACGTCGAAGTTTGTGGCACCTATGTGACATTATTAAGTAGGACAAAGTTACAACTACGGCAGTGGCAATTCACCAGTGGCTGTGTTATACTACCTCCGTTCGATTTGGAAACTCTAGTTTCATAACTCTCGTTTACTTCTTTTGCTCTACACAGCTTTCTTATTTGCTGCATGTTCTTGAGCATTACGCTATTTCCATTTTTGCCATCATTCTGCATGTATGTTATTTTTCTTTAATTCTTCCGTCGCCTCAAAGTCACATTACTTATGTCTTTACTTTTTACTTTCGCAACTCACTTAATTTCACATTCACGTAATAAAACAATTTCATTTCAACGTTTTAGCTCATAGATTCTAAGTTTACGTCAGTTTCTTCTACAATATCCTCTCTCTTCGGCCTCCACTCAACTTCATGTCTATCGCTGTCGTTTATGAAAGATGGTCATTTTCAACTACTCTTTCCCAGTCGCTCAACTTTCTTCAAAGCCTTACAAACTCTCAACATTTCCAACTGATGTTTTTTCAGTGAATAGTGGCTTTTTTAATATTACGTGAAAACAGCTTGAAAACGCTAATTTTCGTAAAACTCGCTTTTGGACAGATTTTTAAATTTTTTTGGACAAACAAATATTGCCACGAGACTTAGTGTGGAAAATCAAGGCCTTGCTTGACTCCCATTTTGAAGAGGCCACCCCGCGCTATAAGCCCATGATAAAAAAACAATACAATCCTATTAGAAGATTTTCAACAAACAGCCTTGTTTCCCAAAGAAACCTCTCAGAAACCTGTTTCAGAAAAACTCTGATGAACACTTTTGTTTAATGAAAACATGTACCCAAGTCTCTTCTTTCGAATGGTAAAACCAGAGCTTTCTAGCTCTTTTCTGTCAAAAGTTATTCAAAAAACAGTCATACATATGCGAGAGGTAATTTTTTTTTTCTTGTCCATAAACGGACAGCCGCAACAGTTTTCTCTCTAAAACTGAAAATCGCAGGTCTGTGGCTTTTTCTTATCAGATGTCACTACAAAGACAATGGAGTTTCTTCTTTCTTGAAATGGATAGTAGTGTAAGTCTACATTCTATAGATTTCATTATTTTTGACTACTTCCCTAAGAAGGATGACTTTAGTCTAGATTATCAGACGCAGAGAATCTTTTGTTCCAATACTCATGAACATGAACATCAATATTCTGGTAAAACTATTCAAGGAGTTTGCTTCTACGTTTATTGATACAACTCTGAGAAATCTCGGCTTTATTCATACAGGTAAGCCACGAAGCCATGTTGTTTGCTTAAGTGAAGGTAGTGACGCTAAATTTCATACTATTGTGATTTTTCCATTTTACGGCTTCATCGTAAATGAAAGTTAAGATTTATTGTATGGTATGGCAAATATTTCATTTCCGTTTTAGGTTATTTCTTCTTCTCCATCTTGTTAATGTTTCTCTGCAAATATGGAACACAGATGGTCACAAATTTTAACACAATTGTACAGCTAAGAATCACCAAAAGTTTCACCGAATTTCGTGAAGTATGCCGTGTTTTATCAACAAAATAGTGCGCATGACGAAATCACGAATGAGAAAAACTAAAGAAAAACAACATTTTTTCCATAGTGTCATAAGATGAATGAGTATTAGAACTTCAGATCGTCCCCTGAAGGGCTTTTGACAGGAATGCTTTTCATATATTAACTGCAGAGTCTCCGCTTATTTTTCTTTCTTCTTCTGTCAACATATAACAAAAGACGTATTATTTGCTTTTCCTTTTGATAGCATCAGTTGGAGAAAACCAACATACTTTTTTTAAAGTACTTTCATTATCTTCAATTAAAAAACAAGGAAGTGATGTTGTGTATATAATTATGGGCTTTTTCTTCGTAACGCTATCCGAATTTCAACAGCATTACGAAACGGGTAAGACTGGTATGCATTTAACTGACGAGGGAACCTCTTGAGGTGATAAATCGCTTTTCAACTGATACTACTTTTATCTTGTAGATTCCAGTGCGTAGTGAAATATCCTAAGTTGGTTCATTCTCATGGTGCTTTGGGATGGAGTTATGACTATTTCAAGTTTTGATCTAAAAATACGATTTTGCACCTGAATGTTTGATTTCTCAGTTGAACAACGTCCGATAGACGTAATATTTTTACTGTGGCTACTAGTCAGAATGAAAACGGATCGAATAATATTGATACGGAATACGTTGAAACTAATGTTTTATATTAATCTATATGTGTTTCCTTTTACCGGTTTTGGGATTGACAGCACCATAGAATTCAAGAGCCCGTTTCGTATAGGAAAGACTAAAACTCGCGAAGACTGGCGTTTCTGGTTCTTCTTCTTCGTAGTTGGGATCTTCGGATGGATTAATCGGATCCGCTTCACATCCGTCGAGTTCGAGTCAGGAGCCGAGCGTACTTTGATATTCGTGTGTATACAAATGACTAGTCAAGACTGGCTGGAAGACTGACTTTGAAAACAAATGAGCGGTCATTTCCTCTTCATGAACACCCGTGGTGCATAAGGATGTAGGTAGTTGTTGAGATACTTTATTGATCAAAAGCTGCGTAATCTTACTCGCAGCACTTATTCTCGCCAGGTAGCGTGCCAGAAATGGACACTCTCTAATAAAAAGGCTGACGCACTGGTAAAAAGAATTATGTGCATGCAGAACTGTCTTTTCTTCTCGTTCTTCGTTCTCACATGTCGGTATGCACACAATCAGCAGAAAGTAGCAAGATAAAATTATTCTGACATCATTCACGTCCTATTTGAAATGACTCATATTGCTCTCATCGAAAGAGTAAACACATACTACTGGTAATGGAAATTGTACAGCTGCGTCTAGGAGCGTTAGAATAAGCTCAAACTTTTACCATATTTAGCTCATGACTAGCTCTTTAGACACTCAAAATATCCGGTGACTATTTCAAGTTGGGATGGAGTTTTGTCCATGAGGGTGAACCAACTTAGGATATTTCACTGCGCACTGGAATCTACAAGATAAAAGTAGTCGGAGTTGAAAAGCGATTTGTGACCTCAAAAGGTTTCCTCATAAGAGATACAATCCATATTTTAGTCAAGTATCTCAGCTAGGCTATATGGTTATATAGAAATAAAATGTTTAATTATAGATGGTAGTCTTCTACGTGATTATTTGTACGTGATCTCTCCTTTGTCAAAGCAAAATGAGATTTTCTACAAAATGAAATGAAAACATGATGTTTCATTATTTTTATGGAAAATCTCGCATGTCCAATATAATTCCTCAACATATAATCTGTTAATTCTAAAACTAGTCTAAAGGCATTCAACAGTTTTGCGTTTAATATAGTCATTAAGGAAATTTCTTTTTCTTCGTTTAGATTTTTAAACAACCTAGAACTATGTTATTACTTTCTCTACTGTTCAAACATTAAAAAATGTCAATAAAAGTTGCAAGTCGAAATTCGTCTTCACTATCAACTTCTGAGCCTCTTAAACAAAAAACATATGAAATCTATCCAAACACTACTAAGTTATCATCTTCAGCACAAATCCAGTATGAAACAGCAAAAGATATCTTTCATAACACCTGCGGATCATTCGTCGAAAATTTTAAAAATTATTCAGGTAGTTTACGAACACACACGATCATTGAAATTTCATCTGCTGGTCTAGTCTATGTTGATAACACAAACGATGTTCGATGTAATCAATGTCAGATTCGTATATTCAATTTAACCAGAGACATGAAACCATTTGAAGAACATCGACGACAGAGTCCAGCGTGTCCATTTGTGAAACAAATCTTGGGCAAAGATAATGAGCAAGATGAAACGATATCAAGTAAGTGTTTTCTCATAGAGCTATGCGGTCATTTCAACTGTCGTGTTTCAGATCAAACGTCGTCACCCGCTAAAACCAAATCTCAGAAATTCAAGAAAACGGAAACATCGACGTATGTTAATGATATAAAACGAGAAGAAGAAAAGGAGAAGGATTCGGTTTTGAATTTTTTTGAAACTAAAATCACGCAACAAGCGCGGGATCGAACGTTTTCTCACTGGCCTCATAAAGTTCCGTCGAAACGACAAATGATTGAAGCAGGCTTTTTCAACTGTAATGTCAGTGACAGAGTCATTTGTTTCTATTGCAATGTTATTTGTCAACAGTGAACTACGCACGATGCTGATCCTAGCGAAATTCATAAACTATTATCTTCAAATTGTCCTTACGTTAAATTCATTATAAATAAAAGTTCATCATTGAATAATATTCGAATTCTGAATGAAAGCAGTCGGCAAACATCTCCACTACCTCCAACAGTTAGTAACGGCGGTGTCGAAAATAGCAACGTTATCCGATCGAACGAAATTGTGTTGACTGCTGCATGTAATGCTGGTTATATAGAAATTCCAAAACGACATGCTTCATTTGCCTCTTGGCCTCAAGAGTCCTTGCCGTCGGTTGATGATATGGCTAAATCTGGATTTTTTTACACGGGCACAAACACGATTGTCACTTGCTTTTACTGCAATGGAAGTTTACAAAACTGGGGTAAGAATGAAGAGAAGACTGTTTTGCATCGAAAATATATGTAAATTTTTCATGTGTTGTAGTAAGGTGCGGGTAATTCAAAGTTTCCGTGACTTTTCGATTTGTTTAAAAGATACAGCATTCGATAGAGCTCGTCGAGCTCTACAAGAATATGAGGTTTAAAAAATTTCTAACCCCTTTCTTCGTGAAGAAAATCTCAAAATATTTTGGTCGGGTCCAGTCTTGGGAAACTCGAATTTAGATAG